TTTAAGTTACTCTACAGAATTTGGGTATTCTCAGTAGCTATAGCTGCTTGGCTCTGAGGTATTTTAGATTCCACGCCAGCATCTGAATTTCTGATTTAGAGAACGAAGATTTCACCCAGTTCTCTCTTTCTCTCTTTTCTCATCTTATATTCCACCAGCTGTCATAACTCTTATGTCTACTGGATGAAATCTGTGTTCTTTTTCTTTTGGGGATTTCTAGCCATATTCATTATACTTATCATAGAGGGGAGATAATTTACTATTCTGTTCGCTTAAATGTATGGGTCCAGACTGATTGTGCCACATGTATCTGATGAATTTGATGATATTGGGGCCGTAATTATACTTAGAAGAGCAGACATTATTTTATTTAAAATTTCATCGTCTTGAAAGCATGTGTGTTGAGAGTCAGAACTTGGATGCTTTGTCCCCCAAGGTCAGCCTAAAAATCCCTAGTGAGCACTTTTATGTTGACAATTATTTCAAAATGTTACAAGATATTTCAAGATAATTTGATATAATTAGACCAATATTTTGGAAAAATAATTCTTAAATTTTTAATTTTTTTTTATTATGATTTCGAAATGGATCGAAACGTTTCCGAAACGCATTTAAACGATTCCGTTTCCTAGGTGACTGAAATAATGCACTAGGATGAAATTTTGATCCTTTGCTTTGGGCCCTATTTTAATTAAGTAATTGCGCCTTGAGAAAGGTGCTCATGGTAGTTTTAGGTGTTAGCTGGATAAATTTTGGTTCATATCCGTTAAAATTTTCAGTATCTTCTACAATTTAAAGTGGGAAGTTCTTTTATAACAGTCTTTTTAATTTAGTGAGTTACATTTGTCTTCTTGTTAAGTTTGAATTGAGGTGTTGGATTAATCTCATTTAAAGAATAGGCCTTATTGTTATTAGAATTGAGTTCTATAAACTCTAAAGGGCTTTGTATAGCCTTTGCAAAAGATAATTGATATATTTCTTTTTTTAAATAGAAGGTAAGTGAGTCTATTAGAGTGTCTAACAAATCCTCATAAACACATGTAGTCCTTATCTCACATCCATTAGACAAATACTGAGATAAATTTTTTAGAATGGCCCAATGGAATCATCCATTTTAAGGCAAGGTTGGTTCAAGATATTGTAATTGCTTTCTGCCTCTTTTTGGTTTTCTTCTCTTTCTTATTCTGCTTATACATCTTATCTTCTAGGAAGTTAACAATGAAGACTATGATGTCTTTTCGCTTTAGATTTAAACCATTAAATAGTCCCCACAAATGTTGGTTCTCTCACCAAAATCCTACTCTATTTCTGCCACTCTTATTCAACTCTAACTCTTAACATATATCTCTATAAGTTTTTAACGCCAGCCTTTTGCAGCTTATAGAGTTCTAGCATGCACTTTCTTCTGCTGTTTGAAAATGATGGAAATTGCTGCTACGGAATGCATTCTAGATTTAGATGCAGTTTGTGAATTTCCGGTCACGAGGTCTAGAGTTTTAGTGTTGCATCGGTTTATTGTCTATTTTGCCTCTTCTCTCAAAGAGGCAGCTTGATAACTGGGTCCAATTGCAATTGGCTGCTCAGTTGCAATTGGCTCATAGCAGCTCTTAAGCTTTAACATTCACAAATGCTTTATTTCTGCAGGAGCTTATTAAAGATCAGGTTGCCAACATGTATCTGTGGCCTAGAACCCTTGAAGTACCAATTATGGATACATCTAAGTATGCCTCCTTTGCTACTTGGAATTTATATGTCTTATGGCTTATCTTCATGATTGCCAGACCTTTATTCATGAATTTGCAGAGCCATGAGGAGGCCTGTTGGAATTCTTCATGTGAAGGTCTTGAGGGCTATAAAGCTGAAAAAGAAAGATCTATTGGGTGCATCAGATCCGTATGTAAAACTAAAACTCACTGAGGATAAGTTGCCATCAAAAAAGACTACCGTGAAGCAAAAGAACTTGAACCCTGAATGGAATGAGGAGTTTAATATGGTTGTTAAAGATCCAGAATCCCAAGCTTTAGAGCTACTTGTTTATGATTGGGAGCAGGTATGTGGTTCTAGTTTACAGGTTTGAAGTTCTGCAGTGTCATTCATGTTGTGTACCTCAAGCTGTCTATCCTTTTTACAGTTTGGCAAAGATGAGAAGATGGGTATGAATGTTATTCCTTTGAAGGAACTAACGCCTGATGAGCCAAAAGTTTGGACACTAGATCTGCTTAAGAACATGGATGCAAATGATGTTCAAAATGAGAAGTCTCGTGGGCAGCTTATGGTTGAATTGACATACAAACCTTTGAAGGAGGAGGATATGCCAAAAGATTTTGAAGATTCAGGTACCACAGTAAAGGCTCCTGAAGGAACACCTGATGGGGGAGGTCTGCTTGTGGTCATAGTTCATGAAGCTCAAGATGTTGAAGGAAAGCACCACACTAATCCATTCGTACGAATCCTCTTCAGAGGGGAAGAGAGAAAAACTAAGGTTATATCATTAGCAAGAGCATCACTCTTTTCTTTTTTCTTGTTCTTCTATTTTTTGTTACCTTTGTTCTAGGCGTAAAAGTTTTAGTTGAAAACAATTTTGGGCAATGAAATTTGGCATAAAGATAAGGATCACTAGTTCTATTGAAATATGGTTTGTGACTCTTTGCCTTATAGGTAATCTATTTTTCCCATGTGATTTCATGTAATCAGTCGGAGGAACTGCTATATTAATGTAAATTTTGTGCCCTGAACCACTTAAATAAAATTCCTATTCTTCGGGAGGTACTTAATATAGTGACTTCAGGGGGATTGACGTAGTTAAATTTGTTGATCATGTCTTTTGTTGCTCATGTGGCCACTAAAGTGACAGTGACTTCCTCTGGTGCAGCATGTGAAGAAGAATAGAGATCCAAGATGGGAAGAAGAGTTTACATTCATGTTGGAAGAGCCTCCCACAAATGACAAACTGCATGTTGAAGTTGTCAGCACTTCGTCGAGGATTGGCCTATTGCATCCTAAGGTACAGAAAGCAAATTCTTTCTTTATCCATTGTGCAATAAAGCAGAGGAACACAAGCTGTTAAAAGTAGAGCCAAGGAACTGATATTGTTTGTATCTTAATACTTATTCATATCAAATGTGAAATATTGGTTATACCTACGGTCTACCATAGAGAAGCACCGTTTTGCATCCCATGCCTAATTATCTGAGAGTGTATAATGCAGCGCTTGAGATAATTATTCTCTTTTGATCTTAAGGCTGCTATGGTGCTACTGATTCATTATCTGTTATCTTGACTTCTCTTATTTTTGCAGAGTTTTGAAATCCCTTTGCAACTTTCTGGGTGTGCATACTTTGTTCTATAGTCTTTTAGTTACCATGAAGTTTATATGATAGGGGTTATATTAGTGAAGAAATGAAGTTTCAAAAAGGAATAGAAATTCTGTATCCTTGATAATATTATTCATGATAAAGATGAATGATTTTTATCATCCCATCTCCTACCTGCTCCCTTTTTTTTTTTTGGGGTGGGGGGGGGGGGGGGGGGGGGGGTTTTAAGAGAGCGCTGCCGCTAAAGAGATCTGAATAAACTAAATTGATTGGGACATCTCTTTACCATCCAATATTTTATCTGTGAGTGAGATCCATTGTACATAGCCCATGGGCAGCTCCCTTTCCTGTACTGGATGTCTTGGAAATCCCTGTATCATACAGTTATTATGTTTGGCTGATCCTCCACTTCATAGATGAGCCTAGTTTTCAAAATTAAGCACTAAGGGCAGTTGTTTAGGTTGGCTGACAACCGTGTCTTTTTGAAGAGTGATGCCATTACTGGCACATGTTCTCTAATTGACGTCATCTTCATTTCCTATTGCATTGCCAAAAATGCTTGACTTGTGTGCGGTTCTCTTTTTGAAATCAGGAAATCTTGGGATACATTGATATCAGTCTTGCAGACGTTGTTAGCAACAAAAGGATCAACTCGAAGTATCATCTCATAGATTCCAAGAATGGACGGATTCAAATTGAGCTGCAATGGAGAACCTCTTCCTAAGTTCCCGGGTTCTTTTTTACATTTACTAAATGAGACATTGTGTTGAGTAGAGCATAGAATCATGATTGAAAAGTTACTTTCCTCTAGGCCTTGACACTGAATGACTGTGTTGTGTTTGTGTAACATTAGTATCAATTGTAACTGAAACGTTCAGCTCCTTGTTACTTTGTATATTCAGAGTGTCTCCATTTGGGTTGTTTTATTTTTCCATTTTAGGTTGTAAGGTTTGGCTTTGTTTGATTATTTTTAGGATCATTTTATATGATCTGAAACACTTGGGAATGATTTTATATGATCTGCATATTTCAGTTTTGTTCAAATCATCTGATCATATGTTGGATAATATTGTGATTCAAGTCCTTGCATATCAAAAAAATTATAAATGGCCTGGAAATTTTATTGGGTCGGGGCTTAATGTCATTTTGCTAATTTTTAAAAGAGTAATGCTACATGGATTTAAAAATTAGACTTGATAAAATCGTTGGGTTTTATGTTAAGTCAAATTACTCCCGAGACTATAATGATCTTATTTGTATCATTCTTATATGGATAAGGGCGTTTACTCTTTGTCTAAATAGACCGGTGATAATCATTTGTATCATTCTTACGTAGATATCTTATATCTAAAAAGTATTATTTTTTATGTAGCAACCTTCTTTTTATTAAAAAGTATTAATTTGTAGTGTATTTTATAGAACATGGTTTTACTAAATTGTTCAAACACTCTGGTTGAGAATAGGTTGAACTTATAAATTTTATATATTTCATATTTCTTGATTTTTTTTTTCAATCGTTTTTCAGTAAAAAATTTATTTAATATGTTATAAGTGTGAGAAATTTATTTATCCATATATCATGCATATTTTTTAATTATGTCAATTTTAAAATGGTGATGTATCATGTTGGAATGGGATTTTGGTTTGACGGCTACAGGTTAAAACGACCCATATTACGAGGCCCAGGCCCATGAGTGTGACGTCAGTCTCTCTATCTTCTATCCAATATCGGTGGTCTGACCGCATCCATTTCAATGGGCGGCCTCTGTTTGCTACGTTCCCTTCCCTTCTCTCTCCTCGGAAACCAATCATAATTTCCTCTTCTGTTCTTTCTCTTTAGTGCAGCGAATTCACAGTTCTGGTGATCAAATCAATCCGATTTTTCATTTCCATAGAGTGATTTGCTTTTGGCGATGGCGATGCCAGTGGTGAACACCGAGTATTTGAAAGAAATTGACAAGGCTCGACGAGATCTCCGTGCCCTCATCTCACGCAAGAACTGCGCTCCCATCATGCTCCGCTTGGCGTAACTCTCTCTCTCTCTCTCTGGCTTTTTGGTTCCACTTGAATTGTGTTGTGATTTTGTTGTTTCTTGAAGGTGGCATGATGCGGGAACGTATGATGTGAATACCAAGACGGGTGGCCCTAATGGTTCGATTCGTAATGAGGAAGAATTACTTCACGGCGCAAATAGTGGCCTCAAAATTGCTGTTGATTTCTGTGGTAAATCTTTTCGTTCCTTCTCGTTGATCATTTATTAAATGAGTGTATTATTCACTGAAATATGACAATTAGAGATTTGGGTCCAATTCCAACAGATGACATAGTATTATCATATGTGTTTATCGCAATACCTTGTTTACTAGTAGCTCTATCATATTATTTTTTGCAAGTTAGCAGTATAGGGACTATATATGATTGCTGTTCAAACAATCATATAACATAGTGTCATTGAAACCCTTATTTAACATTTTCAAACATGTTGGTTTCATTTTTGAACGACAAATTAGTTAAGTGGTTTACATTAGTGGGAATAAGTTAGATTGTTATTTTTGTTCCACCCATTTGCATTTGGGAAACTCAGCTTGTCTCCAGTATATCTTAAAGGGGCATGTTATGGTGCTTTTTCTAAACAATATGGATACACCTGTGTGTTTAGTCTAATAGGTCCATAAACAGTCAATTTCTGCTTGATAATGTTCGTATCCTGAAGTTTGAAATTGAAGTATTGCTGGTTTCAGGGATAATATAATGTCGAAAATATCATGATTGGATGGTCTGATTACAAAAACCAAACTCTTTTTTTTTTTTTTGATTTTGTTGTATTATGTAGGACCTCCAATTTGTTGATATGTGCAGTTCCAATTTTCCTCTTTAAGATTGACTTGAAATTAGATCTTTAAAATCTATTTGATGTTGGTTCTTCTTTCCGATGGCAGAAGAAGTAAAATCTAAACATCCGAAGATTACCTATGCAGACCTATACCAGGTGATAGTTGATGAAAGAAATTTTTGAGATTTATTATTTATATTCATTTGGTTTTCCTTTTTTGGAATCAATAGATCTGACTATAAGTTTTCCATCAACTTATTCGGTCCAGCTAATGGTGATGGAAGAATGTCACCAACTTTAACACCCAACCACACACAAAAAATTGCCAGCCCTGATTGTAGTTGTTTCTTGAGTGTGGTAATTAGATTTCAGATAATAATTGCACAAATAGTTATCCTTGGAGGTTTTGTGCAATGCTGCTCACCTATTTCCAGTTTTGTCTTATTTTTTTAATTGCTGAAATCTAAACTGAAGAACTGATTATTTGGTGCAATATGTTGTAATTAAGAAGATCCGATGCATGATTGTGTCTGTACTCTGTAGCTTGCTGGTGTTGTTGCTGTTGAGGTCACGGGTGGCCCCACCATTGATTTTGTTCCTGGTAGAAAGGTACGTGTATGTGCATACAGTGAGAAAATAGTTTTCATGTTGCCTGGTATGAGGCCCTTTCTTTCTACCTTGAAGGACAAATATACTTTCCCCTTGATGTTGATCTATCTTCAATTTAAGCTGCTTCTATTTTTATTTTAGGATTCAAAGATTTCTCCCAAGGAAGGTCGACTACCAGATGCTAGGAAAGGTATTCGAGTGCTGCTTCTATATAATATTTATTATTCTATTTATTAAACTGTGATTGAAATCCGGGTTGCTATCTGGTCAAGATTCAGTTATGACTCGTGAGGCATCACATTTAAGAATTTTGGGTTTATATATATTTTTTTCCAATATCATATAAATTTTTGATCATCTTACAGGATGGAAAGCTATTTCCCCTGTCAACCTTAAAAATAAAAAAGCGAAGCAAAAACAATAAGGAAAAAACCTCCACAGTAAAAAAAAAACACTCATCCGCACGCGCGCGCGCACATAGTCAAATTGTTGTTAGCTTCTTGTGTTCCTTCCCTTTTCCCCATCTTTTGCATCATCATAACCGCCAAAGGAGTGCTGAGTTTCTGTGTACAAATTACAGACTAGGATGAGTGGTTGCATGTATCTTTTAGTTCATATAATTATGGATTTTCCAATCTTGTGTTTAGTTGAATCATCAATCAGTTCATCTCATTCTATTTGTGTACTTCCTCGTTTGAAGTAAACTGGAAACTTCAATTTGAACTTTCGTTTTCATTATTGTATAGAAATTCAAATCAAAGACCCGTTGAAAACATTAAACTTGTGCTTAGACCTCAGGCTTTTCTTTAAACAATGTTTTGGAGAATTTTATGGATATTTTATTGGTTTGTCATGAATGGGAGGCATTAATTCCTATTGTTAGAATTTCCACATTCCATTCCTACCATACCATGGAACTTAACTGCATTTCCCATACACAACGATTATCAGCCAGTTGATCTGTCAAAATTTCCCTGCATGCCAACCCACCTTGTTGGTGCTTGTTGCTGAGGTACTTTAAAAAAAGATGGTGTGCCTTCACTAATAGCTTAAGCTTTTGGTGAATCGGAAAATGCTGCAATCCAACAATGGGTGTCAAAGCATGGTCACGGGTTCAAGTCCCATGGTAGTTACTTCGGGGTGGAGATTGTTGGCTTGTTAGAGGTGCAACAAGTCTCCCTGCATCTCCAACCAGCCCACCATGTGGGCGCTTGTTGCAGCTAGTTGAAAAACAAGAAATTGCGCCTTCACTAACAACTTAAAGCTTTAGGTGCAACGGTAATTGTTCTGATTCAACATATTGCACTTGAAGTACAAAGTACAATCATTCTTTTAAAACAGAGAATCTACCTGCCGAAAGAGGTAGATGAGTGCGTATTTTGCTTGCAGTTATTAGCTCATTCGCTGTAATACTTATTCAGGATTTTCTCACTGCCCTTGGCATTCTTTGTCACATATGTGCCTTTTGGAGTTTATTGCTTGTTTTCATCTTGGAGAGAGAGAAACCAAGAACCAATGGATGAAACAGCTGTTGACCTGCATGGATTGGGATCGGCAGTATCAGTATTGTACACATGGTCATTATTATCATTGCACTTGTTTTTGCTACTTTGGAAGATTAGGGAGCTCTTCTGTTTCAAAGGAAAATTTCAGACATAAGGTTGGAAAAGAACCATGCCTGCACTCTACAGGAGTTCCTCTTATAACTTTGTGAACATGTGAGATGACCAGAAGTAGCTCTTGCAGAATCCCCGTCCCCACCCTTTCATTTGAGCATGTTGACTTGTTTGAGCATGTTTAGATGTTGAAGGAATTGTCTTCCATGTGATTGTAGTTGGGGGTTAAAACATATCATTTTTAGAACAAATTCCCTAGATCTAATCTTACTTTTTCTTCTGTTTACTAGGCGTTCCGCATCTGAAGGAAATATTTTATCGGATGGGTTTATCTGACAAGGATATAGTGGCACTATCTGGAGCACACACTCTGGTACTTTGCCTCTGAAATTGTTTGCTCTGTTTCTTCGTTATGCTTTTCTTTCCGTGTCATGGATTTATGCAATTTGGTTGCTATTTTGTGCAATAGGGAAGAGCACATCCAGAGAGATCAGGCTTTGATGGTCCGTGGACTAGAGAGCCTTTAAAATTTGATAATTCTTACTTTGTGTAAGACTTACATATGCAGTTAGCTTGATTTTCTAATGTTATATCCCTAAAAGTACTATGTAGAATAAAGAGGACTTCGTTGTCGTTTATTTTGCTGTTGATAATTTGGAACCAGGGAACTGCTGACAGTTGAATCAGAAGGCCTGTTGAAACTCCCAACAGATAAGGCTTTATTGGATGATCCTGAGTTTCGTCATTATGTTGAGTTGTATGCAAAGGTAATGTGATGTTTTGTTTCCCAATCAAATTACCTACTTAATATTGTTGCCATATTTCCTTTTGTGATGCGATTCAATGTCATGGGATAAGTTTCATGGTTCAGAGGTCAGAGGAGTACCGTTGCCTGGTTCTTTTTACCTATCCAAGTTCTGGACGAAATTGCCGAGAAACTAAGCTTTTTGGAGGTGCACGTGTCATGTTTCAGTCAATTGAACTTGGTCCTTTGAAGTTGTAGAGGTTACGAAATTGAAAGTTGCTGACTTGTATTAAAATGTAGTGGCTTTGAGTCTTTGGCAGCGAATTTAACTTAGAGTTTAACTAGTTGCTGTTAAGTGTAGACCCTTAATTTAAGTGTAGATCAACCTTAAACTGTGCTAATTGATTCCAGCATAATTTTCTATCTTTAAGTTTCTCTTAACTTGGAGATGGATGCACGTAAAAATTGGGTTGGCAGATTGGTTTCAAGGAGGTTATGCTTTTGCATTGATGCGTCCTTTCTTTCAAAGCCGAAGCTTTAATTTGATTTTATTTGATCCGAACCTATTAAAGTTTGAACATTTGCCAGCAACCATTGCTTCTTATTAAGTTTTCATTGTTCACCCTGAATAGTCTTGAATTCGATTAGTGCCTGATGTTTTGCATATTGCAGGATGAGGATGCATTCTTTAGAGATTATGCAGTATCGCACAAAAAGCTTTCTGAACTAGGTTTTACTCCAAGTTCCGGTTCCAAGGTTATTGTGAAGGACTGCACCATACTGGCACAAAGCGCTGTTGGCGTTGCTGTTGCTGCTGCCGTGGTGATACTGAGTTACGTCTACGAAGTCCGAAAAAGAATGAAGTAGACAGTGTCTATAATGGATTATCTCCCAATAATTTCACATCTAGTATGAATCATGGACATGAAGGCTCATCTCAGTCGAGCAACTGGGTATTTATATGTTTTCATTTTGATATAGTTACACAGCACTTTAAATGCCTGAAATATGCTCAGCCAGCTAGGTGAATTACTTTAAAGATGCAAGTGAACATCTCCTTCCATGGATAACTTAATAAATTGCATTGATGACTTTTTTAGTTGGTTATCAATATTCACTTCCTCTGCAAAGTTTCTATCAAATCCATTTCAGATGGGCATCTCTGTGGAAGGCTGTTGTGTTATTTATGGGTGTTCATGATGAAATTTTTGGGTTTGTTATAGCGATAGACAATTACTAGTTATTTTATATGTTCCATGAGCATTAAATTGGATTATGCTGTTGGTTTCATTGTTTACCTAATACTATCAAAGGGCAGAGGCATGCCATCATTCTTTCCGGATTTGGTAGGGGTATGCACGAGGTATTGCAAGTTGTCATTGTGTGCATGGTTTCTTGTGATCCAACTTACAAATTACCATCCCTAGACGTGAAGATCTTACCCCTCCCCCCGGGAAGATATTTACTATGGCCGAGGATTCTTTGATTCTTTTTGAATGGGAAGGATTTGTTCACATTCACCGAGTTTTAAAATTTAAATGAACCGAATTCCCAGATATAATTTATAATATAAAAAAAATAAGTTTATCGTGTCAATAGATTTATTTAATTGTTACCAATATTTTTTTTAAAATTATTCATATTGTACTATATTTTTAGGCGTGAGTTACCCTTAGTTCAAATATAAGTGGAGAATTTTTTAATTATAACTTGGTACTCACCCTTTAATTCGATTGTAAATGAAAGAAGAAATTCATTGTGTGTAAATATTTTGATGTATGCGATTCTATTCCCACTCACCCCCTTGTGATGTGATATACCGCACTAATTAATTCAACATGCCATGTAGGGATGGAGAATTTCCTTATAGATAGTGAATGGTCCTTGAATTCAGAATTCATAATCGGTGATTTATTGTTAGAAAAAAAAACAAAGTGGATTGAAATTAATCTCACTCCTAATAAAACAAATGAAAGAAAAAAAGGCCTTAAATCGAGGAGGAGATCTATTACAACTAAAATTCCAAGTGGGTGTCTCTGTCAATAATTAAAAAATAATAATAATAATAATAAAAAATCAATTGTGGTATGCCATTTTTGAAAGCTTTATCCACCATGTGGGGTCAGTTGACACTGCTATGGTTCAAGGGGCCTCACATGGCGGGTGAGAACAACCAAAAGAGTAGGTAAAAGGGCTTTTAGGACAGCACCACTAGCCTTGTTCAATTACATAAGCACATGATATCCAGAAGCTGCTGAGTTGGCTTTCACCAGTATTGTTTCATATTACCTATTCCAATTGTATTGATGCCAATCTTCTTTTTCTTTTACATTTCCATTAATTTTGGTGACCTTCTTTGTACATACATACATGTTTAGAGGAAGCCCCAAAGAGATGCTTTTGCCAACGCAATATTGTTATTCTGCGGGAGATTGTTTATCACGTATGGGTGAAGAATTTACTTATATAGAATGAATTTTATTTTAAAATTTATAGCAATTGATCTATTATTCAAAGAATATGAAAAAAAAAGTATGTTGAAAAGAATTCGACTTAAATAGGAGAACACCAATAGATGTAACACTTAAATTCTTTCAATCTTGTTTAGGGTTAGCTTTCAATCGACTTCCACTTTCATATTAGAAACATCACCTTGCTATTGCAATATTGGATTTTATTTTCTCGAATCCTGACTCTCGGTTTATCTTTATATTGGCTGCTCATAAGAGTGAGATGCTCAACTTCCCAACAATCAATGGGTGAAGTAAGACTTGTTAATTAATAAGTACAATTAATTGTCTTCCCAACTAAATATTCTGTCGTTGGTTTGAATTTTGAAAAAAAATATGTAGATAGGCTTAGATTGTTTTTCTCTGCAGAGAAGATAATGCAAAGGGTGGGAATACTATCGCAAACACAGTTCAACATCAAAGGTGGAGCCAATTTTGGACCATGACAGGCAGAAAAGGAGAAGAGGTAGGTGAAACACCCACATGAAATTACACAAGTGGACATCTTTCTCTTTATCTCCCTCTCTCCGCTCTATCAAAACCAAGTTGATGAGAAGAGTTGAGGGTCACGATTCATAGGCACAAGTGGTATTCAATGTTACTTTTAGAGAGATAGAGAGAGATCATTTATGTTGGTGGGTAAGTGGTAACAACTAATATGAGCAAATTGGCAGGATATAACAACGAAAAGGTGAACTAACCTTCCCAACCATAGCCTTAGTTAGTGGCCTAAACTTGTACCACAAGGTTGGGGCAAAAAAGAGAAGTGGAAGGTGAACCAAAGCCCACATACAACCACAACCACAACCACACTCATTTCCTTTTCTATTCTTCTCTTTTTCTTTCATCATTCTAGCTTGAACCTAACTCCTAAGTCTTCTAGAAACCCTAGCTCTCTCTCTCTCTCTCTCTCTCTCTCTCTCTCTCTCTCTCTCTCTCTCATGCATGAGAGAGCACCACATAGAATAGAGAAGTACAACATCTACCTTCCCTTACATGCACAAGAATAGCCTAACCCACTAAACCTTTCTTCTCCAAATGCCCACTCCAAGACTGCAGGTAATTTACAAAAATAACAAGAATTTAGGTTGGCGCATTACACTATGCATCCAATTGAATTTGTACTCAACAGTTAACAAATTAGATAGAATGCCTTCATTACCATTGAAATTTGAAATAGTTAATAATTGGAGTCAAATTATACACAACTTGGATATCTGCGTTAAAACTTTGATCCATGCTAACTGAACTGATTTGTCAAATTATACACAACCTAATTATGACTAATTAGGTTGACAATGAGTCGTTGTCATATCATATCTTCTAGACCATGAACGTTGTGTCTTTTCAAATTGTTCAATTCATACCTCACTAATTTATAATCTTTAATACTCGGCTCGTATCGTGAATAAGTTATAATTAATTAGGATTCATATTGATCTTTTTCTTTGACGAGTATGGTAATTCTATTCATTTACTATGAAAATCCGTTAGGGCTTGATATTACTTCTAACCATATGACACAGTAAAAATAAATATGTTCTGGTACATGTTGTCTGGTGGGTTGGGGAAGATTTTGAGAGGGTTAGTTAAATTATTAATCCAAGGTTGTTTAGAGTTTAGACATCAGAAAAGCGGAGTGCACTGATCTTGCCCTAATCTAACACCTTACTATACACCTACCAGAAGGTTATCTATATTTAATGGAGTAATACTACATAAACTTAAAAATTAGACTTGATAATCTCAACCATTGAATAGATAGTGGATCCCAATAAATGCTGAGACCTACAGTGAAATCAATGATTAAGATTATCAAGTCTAATTTTTAAGTCTATTTTTTAAATTCATATAGTATTGCTCATATTTAATGTCTTTTGTACCTTATTATATATATATATATATATATATATATATATATATATAATGTGAGATAAAACTAAGGATTAATCTCATTTTGCACCTCGAAAGATTGTTCGAATATCAATTTGCACCTTCAAAGATCAAAAATCTCAATTTACACCCTCAAAGATAAAAATTTGTATCAATGTGCATCCCCAAAGATCAAAAATCTCAATTTGCACCTTCAAAGATAGAAATTTGTATCAATGTGCACCTAAAATTAAATTAATAAATTATACCTTGATCCCCTCATGTTTGTCACTTAATCATTTGAACTCCTTCACATTTAAAATATTCCCCTTACATCTCATGACGTTTATACATGTGTAACACATAACCACTTTTCGTTGATATATATTAATATAATCGTTAAAAAATATGATTTTATCATAATATAAAATTATAATTTTATATTACCTTTTATTTTGTGGATTCGATATACTCTAAAGTTAAAAATCAAACTTACTATTTGAATGTCTAATAAAATGTAGATATTTATATAAAAGGTAATATGAAAAATATTATATAAATATTTATATTTTATTAGACATTCAAATGGTAAACTAGATTTTGAACTTTATAGTATATTGAACCTATAAAATAAAGGGTAATATGAAATTATAATTTTTTATTAGGATAAAATTATATTTTTTAACGGTTATATTAATAGATATCAATGAAAATGAGTTACGTGTTATACGTGCACAAATGTCATAAGATGTAGGAGTAATATTCTAAATGTGAAGAGATCTAAATGATTAACTGACAAATATGAGGGGATTTAGGTATAATTTATCAATTTAATTTTAGGTACACATTGATACAAATTTCTATCTTTGAGGGTGCAAATTGAGATTTTTTATCTTTAGAGTACACATTAATATAAATTTCTATCTTTGAGAGTGCAAATTGAGATTTTTGATCTTTGGGGGTGCACATTGATACAAATTTCTATATTTAAAGGTGTAAATTGATATTTTTGATCTTTGAAGGTGTAAATTAAAATTCGAACAATCTTTCGGAGTGCAAAATGAGATTAACCCTAAAACTAATATCATCACAAGAGATGCTATCCCTCAAACCTGTCTCACCAACTCACATCTAGAAGCAATTAGTCTCTCTCTCCCCCTCTCTCCCCACTTTTATAGTCAAAGTCCTATAAAATCCCATCTCAAATTCTCAAAGGGCCGGCTTTGATGTTCAAGCACCACCAAAGGTTTGAGTTAGACTTCCATTTCCACACCATCATCCTAGCAACAACCCAAAGGAGGAAGAGAGAGAAAATCTTTTGAGCTTCAACTAGTAAGTTAATTACTTGTAATCTTTGCTAAATGGGAAGGTCTCCTTGCTGTGAGAAAGCTCATACCAACAAAGGAGCATGGACCAAAGAAGAAGATGATCGGCTCATCGCATATATCCGAGCTCATGGTGAAGGCTGCTGGCGGTCACTTCCGAAGGCCGCCGGCCTTCTCCGGTGCGGCAAGAGTTGTCGGCTCCGATGGATTAACTACTTGAGGCCTGACCTCAAACGTGGGAATTTTACAGAAGAAGAAGATGAACTCATAATCAAACTGCATAGTCTCCTTGGTAACAAGTAAGTCCAACATACTTTCATGTATCTACGTACCTTTTAAATAACTGTACTTTGATTAGTTAATTATTCTTCTTCCAAAGGATTCTAACTATGGATCCAAAGTTATCGATATTTACAATGAAAACGGACCATTTCCAGTTTATAAGAAGTGAAGTTATCGATCCTAAACAATTCTATTTCATCGTAAACTCACCAAATTAAGTCATAATCTCACATTTATTTTGTAGTAATTTAGTTACGGTACTGAAAAAAGACTCTGTTGTGTACTAGTTGAATTCTCTTTCTAGAAGTCTGTTAGGTTTTATTAGTTAATGAGATTTTATGGTACTTGTTATAGGTGGTCTCTAATAGCTGGAAGATTACCAGGAAGAACAGACAATGAGATAAAGAATTATTGGAACACCCACATAAGAAGAAAGCTTCTTAGCCGTGGCATCGATCCATCGACTCACCGGCCAATCAACGAGCCTGCGCAGGAAGTGACAACCATATCTTTTTCAAGTGCTGCTGTTAAAGTAGAAGAGAAAATAACTAGTGGTTTTGTAATCAAAGAAGAGAAGAGCCCGGTTCGCGAACGGTGTCCGGACTTGAACCTTGATCTGAGAATTAGTCCTCCTTATCACCACCAATCTGAGCCATTGAAGACCGGAGGGAGGACTAGCAGTATATGTTTTGCTTGCAGTTTGGGAATACAAAATAGTAAAGACTGCAATTGTAGCAATGGTACAAGTAGCAGTGGCACTGGTTATGATTTCTTAGGGTTGAAAAATGGTGTTTTAGATTACAGAAGCTTGGAGATGAAATGAAATTGAATGGGACTATGGATCAAAGAAAGATCGAGATCTTTTTCAATACATTTTCTCTCTGTTTTCCTTCTTGAATTTACATATAAGTGCGTTCCACACTTGTTAATTTGGTAGATGATTTGTCAAGAAATGAAAATGGAAGAAAAATAATATTTGAGAAGATCCAGATCCGAAAGAATAGGGAAAGAGGATAGAGGAGAGAGGAGAGAAATGTGAAAATGAAGTGGTATTAGCTTAAAGCCTCTACGAGTTTCTTCTCCTATTTGTAAAACTATAAGTGCATAGCAATATAGTGCCAGTACAGATGACCATTTTGGTTGTTCATTTTGCAAATTTTGTGAATGTTTCTGATCAATCAGAGCCTATTGTTGTTTTGTTTGCTTTGTCTGTGAGGAAAAAGTTGGCATATATGTCAGACCCTTACAAGATTTTCAAAAGAGTTTTTGTACTCTTGTTATGGTTGTTGCAGAACGTTGGTGCTAACAGCAACTAAAGATAGATGATTAAGACTATACTGGGGTCCAAAGAAAGAGAGGGTTTTTCTTTTCTTTTCTTTTTGGAAAGACTAATGTGTTTTTAATAGATGTTTAATGCTAATTTGTTTCCATATGGAAACTTTGTCTTTTTTTTTTTTTTACAAAATATTCACCTAATAACATATGCATGTGGTGAGGTTATATCTTTCTTTTATAGAGATCTTACAAAACGCATTTTTTTTTTTCCTTTTGTCTTTTCATTTTCTCCATCTTTATCTTTTGGGGGTGCCTTTGTGATGAAACTTTGGATAAAAGTATGTTGATTCATGTGACACAGAAGAATTTCTAGGCTTCCATTAAACCATTTTTTTTCTGTTCATTACTTTTTCTTTCTCCAAAATTAGAATCTTTTTGGGTTTGTCTTCTTTGGAAAAAAAGATTGGGATTTGCATGTGCAATGGATAAGCAGTGAGAGGATGAGATGAAAACGAGAGAGAGAGAGAGAGAGAGGTGGGTAAACTCTCTCTTCTTATACAATAAAAGCGCTAAAATGCGTGAAGAAACTAACAACTGTCCTTCGTACCAACCTAACCATTATTATCTCTTAGCCATGAGCTACCCAACCAAGCTTTCTAGAAACAAATCCTACCTAAATCACTCCTTTCACTTTAATGCAAGATATTACTTATTTTGTGTAATACTCCTTCAATAAGACTTCACCATAGGTTTTGTTTTAGCTGTATAATATCTTGAATAAACATGAATCTAGATCTATTACGATATATATATATATATATATATACTTGAAATGTTATATTATTTATTGTATTTTGATCCAGTAACAACTTATATATAATGGGTTTTACTTCATTTATGATGAGTGGTTTTTTTTTTTATTTCTATTATTTATAAGGAGTGATTTACCATTAAAAAAATCGAGAAAAGTGTGTAAGAGAGGATTGAAAACTTATTATTTTTTTAAAATTTTTCTGTGTTGAGAATATATTTTGCTTTCGTTCAAATCAACAAATTCTCTCTACATCCATTTATATGTCATTCCAAACTGGTTCTGTCCATGGAGTTGAATAGAGATATTGTTTGCACTGAGTTTCCGTATTAGAAGAGAGCTACCCATCCATGCAACGACAAAAGTGAATTTGGTCAATAAACTTGAGTTTGAAATTAAAATCCATCGCATAATCAATCTAAGAATCGACCCGAATCACCAATCTAATTGTTCTTGATCATTCACTTGTTATACTTCCATTTATACACCTTAATCTAATTGTTCTTGATCATTCACTTGTTATGACTCACTCTCTTCTAATTGAACAAAAAAAAAAAAAAGATGAAGCATGTTCTACCACGTGGAAGTCAGTTTTAATTTTTTTTAGGAAGTAGATAGGAAAATGAGGTCAGAAGTACCAAACAGATCCTTTCAGAAGTAGGATAAGAAGTAATATAAGGCATAAATGACTGTCAGCAACAGGACACATAGTGGGTGGATGGTAGGCTGATATGAAACAACAACCCATAAAATAATACCTCTTTCTCCCTTTCCTTTTATTGTTATTCTTTTTCTAAAGGTGTTAGGTATAGACATTAGAAGCTTCCCTGAGTTTTTTTTTCCCCGGCTTTCCTCATTCTTTGAAAAAAAAAAAAAAAAAAGTTTATCAGGCTGGTGTGTTATAATCTCTCTCTGATGATGAAGAATCATTTTAATCATAGGTAATGCTGGATGAATTTTAAAAATAAATTTGATAATTATAATTATTAAATAAGTAGTAAATTCTAATAAATGTTAAAATTCACAATGAAAACAGTAGTTATAATTATCAAATTTATTTTTTAAGCCTATGTAACATTGTTCTTTCAATCACGCATTTTTTTAACTTAAAAACAAACTAATCTATTATGAATTTAAAATGTGAGTAATCACCCATGAATGATTTGTTTCGGATTAACGAAAACGTCTCGTATAAAACTTGAGATCTCAAAATATTACTCAATAAAAATTTAATATCGAAAATATATATGGGTTTATTATGCGTTATTGCTCTTTACTCTTTTTTTTTGGTTCAATGATCAGGGGTCTCTAGGTCAGCTTACGTGCACTTCGGCTAATCTTTTTCTCATTTCAGTTAAATGCAGACTATCCACACCGAAACTAAAGTATTTATAAGAGATAAATTCACCCAAATAATTATCAAGATACAAACTCCAAACATCTATATTTACAATTTTTCTCAATTACCATTTGAACTATTGGATTGTACCTCTCACTCTATCAATATATATAGTATTAATTGTTCTACCCCTAATAGTTTAGAATTCAATTCCTACCAAACATCACATGCATGATCCTGATGTTGGGCCCTCACCCCCAGGTCCCTCTTCTGGATCCAAGCATCAGCCAAATGATGAGTACCCTCAGCCATAAAAATTTTTGTTAAATAATGCACAAAACCCTTCTTTTTGGTAGCTTCACTATATTTTGCATATCCGAATTTAGTAAAAGGACAAAACAGACTCATCAATGTGCATTTGATTTATTATTTTTTAACTAATATAATTATGAATTTGACCTATTCTTCAACACCAAAGGCATGACTCAGAACCCAGATTGTATCTGACAATAAATAGTTGTTTAAGTACTTAGATAAACGCAATTCACTCTTTCGTTGCCAAAAAATTGGGCGAATTTAGGAAACATTCAATTTAAATGTCGTTGGAAATAGTTGGAGGAGTTCGAAAACAACAAATTTAGATGTCGTTATTTCCTCAAATCAATCACTTGAAGATGATAATTATGAGACCCTTGACCATACCGATTACTTCTCTCGGGATACTACATTATTATTCACACATGATAGTCCGATTTATTGCAAAATTGGGCTAAATTTTCTTCTGCAAGTAGACATGTCTTACGGATACTCGACAATCACAAATATCATCAATTATTTATAAACAAATACCAGGATTAATGGATCCTAAATTGGTAACATGCACTTGGTCTAATTGTTTCTTTATAATAAATTAATAATAATAAATATAGATAATAATGTGATATCATCATCGTCACATTAGTGTCTTGAGAAGAACAGCGTAGGATGGCAGCATTGTAAATAAAAAGTAAATGGAGGGTAACAAAATAAATACAACTGGGAGACGTCAATATCCCACACGCTACCAACTTCTCCCTCTCTTTTCGGGCGGTAGTTGGTAGCAGTCCGACGTGGGCTCATGTGCTCGTTTGCGGCTGTGGGCCCACTCAGTCTCAGCCCAAATTAGTGGGGCCCACCCTCGCTACTTCAAGTCTTCAACTTCTTCTCCTTATCATGCGCATCCCTGTCGCCTAACTAGTCCTTTTTTATTTATTTTGAGTAAATAAAATAGAATAATGTCGACTCACTATTCCACTACACTCTTCCTTTTTCTTGGTGTCTCATCTAAGTAAGTCAATATATCATTTTCTAATAAATTTTGATTGATTAGAATATTAATTAGGACATTTTCAATTCTTAAGTTCTTTACTTAAATATGGTATTGATTTAAGTAAAGAACTTAAGGTTGTTTTTTAATATTTTTGATTCAAATTTAAATTGTCATATTTCGTCTTCTTTTAAATTTGAGACAAACTTTCAAACAGTAAAAACAATGATTTCATGAGCAAACACTGGTTTCGGAATTGAAACTCCCGTTTGAGCAAGTGAGTTAGGAAATAATGGTGGTAGAAAGAATCAAAACGTGTTTTCCTTTAAATTTGAGTTTGTTCATCGGAGTGTTTTGTATTAAATCAATTTTTTTATTCAAATGTTAAATTAAATTTGACTACAAATATAAATCTGGAGATGACCTTAATGATTTATTTTTAAGTAATTATATTTTGAATTTTAACTCAATTACATTAGATAATCACATGATTTACCACAATTGTGCATCCACATACATGGAGTTAGGCTCCGAACTATGAGAGTTGGGTTTTGTTTTATATTTCTAAGAGTGGTCTAATCCCTTATTTGATCAGACTACTCCTAATGTTTGAACTAGTTATTAATGGTCGACTTAATTAGTACATTTTCTATATGTATTGTGAACTCTTTCTTTTTCAAACGAATCGAAATTATATATATCCTTATAGAATTCAAATCAAATAATAAAATATAATTGGATAGTGTGTACCCATATTCCAACCTATAAAATATAATATAATGAATTTGAATTGATAATAAAGTAGCCAATAAAAAAAATCAAACCAACTATATATGACTAATGAAATTAGGATTTAATTTTTTATTATAGTTTATATATGAGAGGAGATTGACGAGAATCAAGTCTTGAATTTGTGGGAAAAGGTGGAAAAGTCGCCAATTCGTTTGTCAATCCTCCTTTGCTCAAATCCACTCTATTGACTGACTTAAGCATGAGTTCCTTTGAATCTTTGGTCCAATTCTATATGCTTAACTACGCATTTTGGGGTGAACACAAAGGATGACCATCTTCCAACTTTATTTTTTATGCAATGTTATATGAAAATTTAACCAGACTTAGTTCGTTGAATTAGTCATGTGTTTTATCGTTGGATGAAATTCACTTTTAATTAAGACTGCTAATCGAGTCAAACTACTCAAGTTCGACTCAATTTATTTTTTAAATGAGTTAAGTTTAAACAATTTTTTAAGTTCGTCGAAAAAACGAGTTCGTAAAATTTAGCTCGTTTATATGTAAAATAGTGAAACTAGTCGAATTTGATTCGAATTCAACTAGTTCTAGGTTCAGTTTAGGCTCTGTTCGTTTTCTAATCTGTCTAAGCTTGAAAATTAGTTTAGACTCATTTAGAAAAACAAATTCGACGTGCCCGGTTCGATTATCAATTTTAATTTTAATTCTAACTTTTATAATTGATCAGTTTATCAAATTATATCCTAGAATGGGTACAAATAGAATTGTTTTATTTTTACTCGGTTGTATCGTTATGACTTAAAAATTCTCTTACTTTATACAAAAGCTATGCAATGTTCTACACAATTCAAAGAATCCAACTTCCCCAAAGTTTTTTTAATCTTTTTTTTTAAATGAAAACTTATCAATACATTTCTAACCCATCTATCTAAATCCAACCTCCATCCTTATTCATATGTATTCAAGATCAGTTTCTCATTGTCCACAATATATATTTAGTAAAAGTGGGCCCAATATTAAAAAAAAAAGAAAAGAAAAAAGAAAAGAAAAGAACAAACGCACATGTCCCTTTCTCTACCTTCTTCCTTCTAGAAACATATTATTTGTTTGGTGTTTTGCCAGGTGGGTTTGGTTCTTCACTAAACATTCAAAAGCTTCAAGACATTAGCATTTAATTTAAAATAAAATAAGTGGCCTTTTTTGTATTAGTTGTTGTTTCAAAATGTGTCGATTTGCTCTTGTCATGGCGTTTCTTCAAGCCCACCTCCACATTATTCCAACCCACGAAACCATTAACATAATCAACATTGCTTCTTTGGAATAGTTTTTAAAAGCACAATACATGAACCCTAATCCCTGGTCTACGTGTGCCTATGAATTGAATTTGGATCGAATCTCAACCAACCTAAATCCAATATTGATTAAAAAGAAGTCTTAATTCAAATCTAATTTGATTATTTGACACATTTTATTTTCAAAGTCTACATACGAATCCATTAAAAACAGTTTCTGGTCTCGAAATTTTGTATTAATCTAAATCTGTGAAATATGATATGACAAATTCGAATGATCTACGAAAATGTCAATTTATATTTGACTAATCTGATTTGAATTAGATGAAAATATGATTCATTGACAAGCCAAACCTTAGGTTAGCCGATAAAATTTTAAGGTTTTAGAACAACCTTAAGTTCACAAGCCACATAATTGAAATGATTCTAGTTATGCAAGCTAATGGGTCAACAAGCACCTTTACCCATTAGCTTGCATAATAGTAATAGAAAAGGAAACAAATTTATACAAGTAGCTTTCTTATTCCTAGTTCATCCACCCATAAGTATCGTATTGGTCCTCCAACAAAAGACATTGTTAGGTTACAAATGCTAATGCGATGTAAACCTAACATGATTCATTTAATGTCACGACTACATAAATTCAAATGAAATTTATTGTATGTATAAGTGTTCTATTAAAGAAGAAACTTGTAAACTTGCGTGTTTTCAATTACACACCTAATATTACAATACCATGGACTTCACGTAATCTATTGAAAACTCTATCAATTATGGAATGTTTCTGATATCCCTATTATCCTAGTAGATTATCAAATTATTCTACCCCCCTCCCGGGCGGTCATGTACCAGATTAATGCTTTACCTTATATAAAGTCACCTCTTTACACAAGGGGATAAATTTATGGACAATGGCCCCAAAGAACTACATTTCGTGGGATATTCGAACCCATAATCTATCCCTCATGAAAAGTTTATTAGGTGATTGAGCTATAACTAGGTTAATCTCTTGTTAGAGTTCAGCTACGAAACGTTATCAACTACAAAACCAATTGAATAAGTTGAGAGACGCACAATGCTCATATACTAGTTTAGGATGAACCAAATATAACAAAACGTTCTCATGGGACAAATAAAGAAAGAATGACATATTATGGAATAATGATTCTTGTCCAAAAGACTCAGTATAGCACAGCTCTGATATCATGTTAAAGTATAAAACTCAAACTCTACCAACATCAAGAGAACCACTTGAAGGAAAAATCCTTTCGTAGTAAACTGGATCTCTAGATATCTTGCCTAACACACGCTTTATTTAGATATATATTACCTCTTATGAGCGATTATCTACGGACTTCTAAAAAAATCTGAGCTAATTGATTTGCTGTTGTACCAAGATAATTTGAGACAAATTACAACTTAATACGTCAAGTTATGATTCAATGAATCTAAAAGTGCTGAGACAATGGTTGAATTGTAATTTAACTTGATTGGATCGTAACTATCACTATTTTATATGTCACTGCATAAAAAAAAACAAACAAGGATGTTTGATTCCAATATTAGGACAATTTAGTGTTAGGCTCATACAAACATCATCAATCCCCTTTATCTGCATTTGAAACATGATAAACAATTCTTTTAGATGTGAAATTCGAGAAAATGTTAATGTAATCGTGATATTATGTCATCACTGTTTAATATTAAATTAATATGTAGACAAATCAACCCTACATGATGTTATCGTTATACTAAATATATAGATACTGATAAATTTATTATTAAAAAACAATGTCACACGACAATTATAATGTTGTGGTATCATTATACTAAATATTTACTCTTGGTGGCGCAGGTGCGCAGTGTGCGTAAGATAGCAAAACTAGAGACGGTGAAGGAAGTTAAAGGAGTAGGGTGAGGAGATATGATATAAAACAGTTATGGTGGTTGGGGGTGGGGATAAGTTTATGGGCAGAGAGTGCTTGAGCGGTGAGGGAAGTGATAGAGTGTGGGTGGGTATGGCCAAGTAAGATGGGTTGGAAGCTGACAACGACCTAACCCTCCAATTTTGGTCAACCACCTCTGTCTGTACTTGTCCTTTTCCTCAAACTTAACTTCACCCCTGTTTAATAACTGGGTCCCTCTATCCTATAACTATAACACCTACTCCCTACCCCCCAGGCCCCAACCCTAACCCCACCCCCACCCCTCTCCTCCCCTTTCTTTCTTCCACACCTGGCCTACATCTATGCACCGTTTCGAGAGAGATTATACATTTGGAGACCCCGGGACACATTTATTTCTAGGGTTTTCACTGATCGTCGTTTGGCTCAAAACTTGTAGGTCCTCTACTAACCGTAACCAGCTCCCACTGCTATTCTTCACTCTCAACTTTTGTTTTGATTCAAATCAATCCCCCGCCCCCTCCCTCTTTTTTTTTTTTTTTTTTTTTATTTAATAAAATCACGACATGTAAATTTTATTATTTTACAATTAATGGTTACAAACAAATTAAGGGGAAAAAAAAAACAAAAGAATGGAAAGTATTTCATTACAATATTGAAAAATTATTTTTTAATACCATAATGTAATGAAAAATTGTACCCACCTTCTGTATAATATGAAAGTTACATAATTATAAGTTACAAGCTTTTTGAGGGCATAAGTTACAATTTATAAAATACCTATTGATTATAACAGGTCGCTAAAAATATAATTTTTAAAAATTAAGTTCGTTGTCCATGACCGAGAGTTATCACATTGACTATCAACAATAATATTTTTTAGTATGGTACTAAAAAAAAAAAAAACTATAGTCCTGGTGTTACATATATAGATGATTGTAGTAGACCTGTGCATGTGACAGCACATCCACATCCCTGGTTCTCTGTGCACTATTAGGTTTGAAATTGTAAATACCAGGTGTTGGTATGGAACAGGTACACATGGTGGACGGCGAGGAAGGGACTCACACCCAACATTCGGCGAGAGCATTTTCCCAGTTGCTGGCTTAGAATAATTTTCAAGCATCAAATGGCACATGCGGATACGTCTTCTTTTGTACAATACCAATTATCACCAAAACGCAACACTCCTTTTACAATAAAATCACCAATTTCAGAAGCAGCATAGACAAATCTCACCCCAAAACTTTCATTGTTATACCAAACCTAGGTGTAGTTCTAAACCTTACATGTCTGTCAACAGTCTCAATCATAGGCAGGCATACATTACAATCAAAGGACAGCAAAAATTATGAAGTATTGAGAAATGCATATGAATACAGAAAACAGGAAGTTCAGCATGACCAAAGTAAAAGATGACAATTGCCAAGTAACAAGTTCTAGGTCCTGCTTGATAAAGAAATTAATGTTCGTTAACAATATAGTTTTACCAAGAAAAACTAAAAGATAAAAAAAAAGTTCATGGAGTAGAAGAAGCTTAGCAGGACTAAGTTTCTTTCATAGGGGCCTTCTTGGCTGCCTCTGCGGCTGCTTTCTCTGCTTCAATGTCAGCAACTATGGAGTCAATTTCGGCTTCTTCAAGTTGTCGTAGTCCATGCTCTTTTGTCATCACAGCAACTTCTATGTTCTTTCCCCCACTCTCAACAACCTAATCATAGGATTGTTTATTGCACGTAACTATCAATGCATCACTTCATGGAAAAAACTTACATAAGAAAACATAAAGGTATTGGATATCAAATCACCCTTTCTCCCAATCATTAAAAAAAAATAAGAATGCAAAAAATAAATAAATTTTTAAGGTACTTATTTGTATTTCGGGGTTTCGGAGGCACATGTTTAAGAAGAAACTTAGGAAACTTAGATGAGTCCATCAGAAGTAAAGATGGCTTGAAGCAAATATTGCCAAAGGGTTTCTCAATAATTTCAAAGAGATCAGTTTGACGTAGGTGAAAGTTAACAGGGCTGTTGGCTATATGAAATGGACAAACACAGTGTTCTCATTGGGTGGCCAACTCAAATGAGAGGAGATTAATGGGACTGTTAAAAAAAAGGAGTTATTGGAATGTGGACAAGGTTAGATGTTTCAGACAGGATGAGAATGGCTTCCATACCTATTGTTACATGGTCAGGTGATAAATTTTGTCTGCTTGTTTCTCAAAAAAGGAAACTATGTTTCACACTAATAATGGATTTGTTTACTGGGCTCAGAAGATAATTCCTAAATTGAAAGTAGAAACAACCATAAGTGGTTCTTAACTACATATGCATCTGATTGATCATGTCAACTGTAGTTTCAGTTTAGGTGTTCTGCGCCAAGATGTCCTCAAGGGATAAGTGGGGGAACTGGATGTCAGTCTATATTGTGTATCTTCTGCCGTAAAAAAATATATATATATATTCTTCTCCTTGTCATTGATGAACTGACACAATTGGTGCCCTTTTGCAAATTCTTGCTATTGGAAGTGGAGGCAATCAAAGAATATTTAGGCAAGGAAGAAAATTAGAATGAGAGTGAGTATGTTGGAATAATATCCCATTATCTGTGTGTGTGCAATGTCACTAATGCTACACAATTCCGGCAATCTTACTCATAGTCTGTTGAATCAAGTATTGACACTCTTCAAGAAGAAACAAAATTAAGGCATAAAGATCGAAGAACAAAAACGACAGAGGTTGCAATCGAATGCTAAACAGAAACATTGGTAGTCAATTGCTAGCATGAGGATTACTGAAGATGGTACAACAGTTAAAACTATTCAATTTTAGTTGGGAGCAATGCAATGATCAACTTCAAAGTATAAATAATTAAACTACACTCTCTCACTTGAAAGCAGCACAACTATCACCTTTCAAAGTATAACACCATAAAGAGGCTATGCAAGAGCAGTACACACTACACAGCCAAACTCAAATTCAAAGTGAAGTATATGTGTGCGCGCGCGTGTATTGACAACTTACTTCAAGCAAAGCACGAATGGCTAACTTCAAGGTTTCCTGTCCGGATGTTTCCTTGTAATTCTTCTCCAAAAATTCCCGAATCGAATTTGAGTTTCTTCCAGTCGCATTGGCTTTCCATGCTGAAAAAGTCCCTGATGGATCTGTCTGATAAAGCGATGGAACACCAGTGTATGGGTCAAAACCAACAATCAAGGTTGAGAGGCCAAATGGTCTTACACCACCACTTTGTGTATATTTTTGCTGAAGACCAGCAATATAACGCGTTATATATTCAACAGTCACAGGATCCTCAACTGTAAGTCTATGACTCTGACATTCAATGCGTGCCCTATTTATCAGAACACGTGCATCTGCTTTCAGTCCAGCACAGGCCAATGCAACGTGATCATCCAAATTTACGATTTTTCTAACCGATCTGAAATAAGAGCAACAAAATAGACTGTGAGCAGGAGAATCCTATCACAGCATGCCAAACATGACGCAGCGCATATAAATGGAAAGCAACACAAGGGAGAGACAAGGCAACGTTATAGCTTTGTCTAGGGTGGTAATCTAAGATGGAACAACATGGAACTCCTCACAGGGAACACAGTCTCAAACTTATTAACTGAAACATCAAAGCCAGAAGTCACATAGTTGTAGCAGAAATGAATGACTATAGCAGACGTAAATGCATGATATACTTACTTATGCAGAGGTGAAACTTTGTCCTCTTATAGTGATCCAGAAGCCTTTTGAACCAACTGGAATAATTTTTTTCTTTGTTGAGGTGGTGTTATGTAGCACAGGGGTATGTCTGGAAATCAGCTCTTATATGCTTCTTTCAGTTGGTGCAGAAGGAGAGGAATCTGAGATCATTTGAGTGGGTGGAGTCTTCAGTGACTAAAGTGAAACATCTTCTTAACAGTTTATTTTCCTAGTCTCTGAGGGTAAACATACTTTGGGTTAAATCATCAAGAGCTAGCTTTCTTTGGCATTTTATTTTTTCTTTTCTCGATTCTTGTATGTTCTGTGTTAATCCCCTTTTTAATGTTCCTACACTTATTTATTAGGAGAAAAATGTAAATGATTAGAAAATAAGTTTTTTATTATATGAATTATATGCATACCTTTGTATTTAGTTAATGGCAATGTATCAGACTAAGAACTGTGCAATGTATTAGTTCACTCAGTCTCAAAAGACAGGTCCGAAACAACAATGGTCAAGCCATACCTGCCGAAACGAATAACTGTCTACTTATAATATTCATATTCCCGTATATCCAAACAGGTGCCAAAGGCAAGTTTCCAAATACTTGGGGCTATTTAGCTCAGGATCATACTCCACCTATCAAAGATCCAAATCTTAAGCTTAATTCCGTGAGAGCCTTCCTTATTTCCAAATATGGAAACCGGATCTGCAGACTGCTTATATTCCCTTATATTTGTATCACTCAAACTAGGGCCGGCCTCTCAATTGAAGATGCCAACCGTAAAGATAGTCAGTCACATGTAGATCCAGTGCTTAATCTAGTTACGCATTATCTCCCAGTTATTAAATTAAATTTAAGATTCAATTAAATCTATTTCCCCCAATATATACCAAAATAAATGAAAACCGGAGCAGGATTTGACGGCAGTTACTCAACATTCAATAAACTTATGTCTTGGTAAAGTAAAATTCAAATTATACAAAGAGAAAGGGATCAATCATCGTTAAAGTCCCAAATGAACAATGCTATTACAGGTACATATTCATATATAATCATATAACATTGGCCTAAGTCTAATTTTCGTCGTATCAGTGCCGGAACTGAAGGAGTCACAAAATTCCAAACATCAAAATAAAGAAGGTGGAACAGAACATTTAGAAACCCTAGACGCCAAATTCATGAAAGTAGTTCGCAAGCATTGTAGAATTGATCGTTACAATGAACTGATGATAAATAGTAACTAAATACCGGGTGTCTTGAAGCTTGGGGGTGGATTTCTTCTCGACAGCGAGGACGATGGTGTCGGTGCCACGGACGCCGACAACGGCGTTGCCTTTCCGTACAGCTTCAAGTGCATATTCAACTTGGAAGAGATGGCCGTCCGGCGAGAACACCGTGATCGCCCTGTCGTATCGAGCCATTTATATATGCTCCGATGAACTTATGTATTTCAGATCTTACTTTTCCGATCTGTGCGATCGGAGAGAGTGAAGAAGAGACAATAGAGTGAACTTGCACTGCAAGGCAGTTGAAATTAAGCCAATCTGTAAATGGTGTCGTATTTTTCTTACCAGCCTACCAAACGGGCCTTAAGTGGGTCTAGAAGAAAAACAGAGGCCCAAAACCTTACTCATGGGTAATCTCTGACTCCAAAATTGGGCCTATCAGAAATATAGCGGGCCAAGGCCTTGCTCAGGGGCAATCTGCCACCATGTGGTGGGCTGGCTCATTTCATGGACTGAAGGGTTGCCAGAACTTATTATTGAGTTTTAATCTCAATCCCCTTCTTAATGTTTCATGCCCAATTTGCCACAGTCCTTCAATGTCTCGCACACGCCCCAAGATCAAGAGCCAATAGCTGTACTTTGGTAAGATCAACAGTACTAAAGCAGCCGAAGGTAAATGGAAGGGTAATTTGCAAAACACACCCTCAAAGTTTGGCTCCAATTCCAATTTGATCCCTGAAGTTTGAGTTTAAATAATTATATCCTTAAAATTTTAATTGAATTACGATGCTGTCTTTTGGTCCAGATCCGTTCAAATCTGCTATCGGAATATCATCACATGATATCAACGTGACATGGCAGAGGAGTACTAACATCCAAACAAAATATTTTCCACCCATGGTTATATTTGATTTTTCATCTTTGATCTATCTGCTAAGGCTAAAATAGAAGCATCAGTGCGAAATATCAACATAAAGACGCTTAGATATTTTTGGTAAAAGAGGGATATATTGAATGAGATTCTTAAACTTCCCTAAAGATTGACACAACAATACGAAAAGAAATGTTAAATGACAATCTCAAATTACAACTTGTCATGTATTTATCTGTTGTTATCACGTGATGATATCCCGTTTGCATATTTCAATAGATATGGACGGAAAGACAACATTGCGACTTAAATCACAATTTTAAGGACTTAATTATTCAAGTTTAAACTTTAGGGACAGAATTCAAACTTTAAGGGTGTGTTTTGCAAATTACCCTAAATGGAAATTTCTTCAGCAAACCCACGGTCCATTTCGTTTATTGATCAAACACTGACCAAGTTCATCAACAAAAGTAGAAGAGCGGCAAACCAGATCCTAAATAAGCAACAAACAAATAACCAAACTATGAAAACATAACAGATGGCCATAGGGGTGTTAATCGAGACTAGTTACTTGAGCTTGGCTCGGGTTCGATTCAAATACAATTTAGTTTAAGTTCGACTTGCGTTTTAAACAAATTGAGTTTGAACAATTTTTTAAATTCGTTTAAAAAAATAAGTTTAAAAAGTTCAGCTCAACCTCGCAAAACTCGACTCGTTTATATATTAATTTATTTAATCGGTAACATGGTAACAGGTAAATCTAAACCCCCCACATAGATTAGCCTAGTATTAGAAAGACAATTGTCTATATAAGATTTGTAGCAAGTTGGTCTCCCCACTTAAATCTAGGAACCAGATTTGATACGTGTAGATAAGATCTTGTTGGGGGCAAGAATCCATATTCACATTATTAGGTTTTTAGCCCATGGGTCATATCCCTAATATATCATAGACCTATCTTATCCTCACTAAAGTAACAATAAAATATTTCCAATCATTCAATTGGAAACCCCTCCACAAATTAATCCACAAGTACCACTAGTTTAATCTCAAGTACTAGCTCAAGCTTAGTTGATTTAATAAGACGAACCCCAACCGAACCAAGCCTACTTGTTGGATAAAAAAATTAACAACCCGGATTTGATTTACAAGGCATATGCAACCCATCTCGTATCCCCAAATATAGCATGGCCAAACACTTCCTTTGTCCTTTCAAAACTCTCCTTCCTCTCTTCTGAACTGTAGTTTTATCTACGACATTGAGCTTATATGCTTCTTATCCCGTAAATATATCATATATCATCAGATTCTTACAAAAGAGAGAACAAGAAGATAGAAAAGAACAGTACACCAAATTAAACACTTTCAAACCCACTTGCCCACTCCTAGTCCTACCCATTCAAAGTAGGGAATAATAAACACACAAAACCATAAGCTATCTGCCCGTAGCAAAGTCATGCTACTGTACAGTAGACGAGAGTCTATTATCTCCATCAAACTGTCCCTATTGGTACCAACCAACCCATCTACCGTCTGACCATTGATCAAAACCACATGATCAATATGGATTACAATTTACAATGGAGGGTCTATTTGGGTCACCAAAATGGGGCTCCGAACCACATGCTTTCCATCCATCCAAGACAATGACCCGAACACAGCACCCGACTCATCCAACTCCAGATTCTTGCTATCCACAGTTACAGTCACAAAATAGCTCAGTTTCCTCTTTCCCTCCGAGAACACCAAGTTCCACGGTTTGACACTCACCGTCGCTCCCTTGGGTGGCTCAACCTTGACCCTGTACACCGCATTTCTCTCCCCCACATTCGTCACTGTCCTAAGGAACGTCTTGCTTGTTACTCCCATCGATGAGCTCGAAAAAGATGCAACAATTGAAGGATAATTCAGATTCTCTGGCAATGGTTTTCTCATCGGACACTTCACCGGTGTTCGGGTGATCACCTGAATTGTCCTCGGACCATACCCAATGGAGCACAAAAAGCTCACATAATCAGCATTGGTGATATCATAAACAAGTCCGGGATCCATTGCACGATCAAGATTCAACTGCCCAGCACCAAAATCATAGGACGTTGATTGCTTGGCAGTGGATTCATCAGTCATGGGTTTCAACTGATTGTCCACAATGTTAGCAGTTGTCATCATAGCTGATCGTATAGCTGCCGGGCTCCAATCTGGATGAGCCGACTTAAGCAAGGCCGCTGCGCCACTTACATGAGGACAAGCCATTGAGGTACCAGATAGTATATTGAATTCTGTTTTTCGTTTATCCGAATCCAAACCCGTTGGACCAACAGCATCAGTCCATGCTGCCAAAATGTTCACACCAGGAGCTATCAAGTCTGGCTTCAAAATTTCAGGGTTTAGACCATTTGGTCCTCTTCCCGAGAACGAAGCTACCACCGGCGCCGGCTTAATTCCCAGTAAAGTCCCTCGGAAATTAATCGTTGCTGTCGCGAGTGAATTGGAGGTAATGTAGGACTTAATGGCATCGCCTTCATCGGCACCGACGGCACAAGCCGGTAAAAGATGAGCATCACCCACCAAACCTTCACCATTTGAAATTCCGTTAGCTAAGATCATACCTACACCGCCGGCTTTCTTCACAACCAATCCTTTAGCAACCCGGGGATTGCTTCCTCGATCACAGATCACGATTTTACCCTTCACCAGATTAGGATCAAGTGAATTTTCCATACACAGTGAAGCAGAGAGTAATCCTGATCTACCAGGATAAACCAGAGGATACATTTTTCCATTCAGAGGCTGTCCTGCGTATAAGGATACGCCGGCGATTTTCCTCCCGTCGGCGAGAATCACATCGGCCGGAAAATCGCGATCAATGGTGCCGGCTCCAACTGTTGTAAGCCACGGCGCGAGGTTAGTGACGGACATTCCATTAGGTCCATCATTTCCAGCTGAACAAGACACAAATACACCTCTTGAAACAGCTCCATAAGCTCCGATTGCGATTGGATCCAGGTAATATGGCGAAGAAATGCCATCGCCGCCTCCAATCGAGATTGAAATTACGTCGACACCGTCGGAAACGGCGGCGTCGAATGCAGCGAGAATATCGGAATCGAAACATCCCGAATTCTTCCAGCAGACCTTGTAGACCGCTAATCGAGCTTTCGGAGCAACACCTTTGGCGACTCCCGAAGCATAACCTTCCATACTTGCCTGAAAAGCATGTTTTCCGGCAGCCGTCGACGCCGTATGAGTTCCGTGTCCGTCGGCATCTCTCGGAGACCGAAATTCAACGGTTTCATTGATTCCTCCACCCATTCCACCAAAACCGGATGCTGCTTCGTGTCCTTTAGAGAAAAATCGAGCTCCGACAAGTTTTCGATTACAGTTTTTGACAGTAAATTTGACTCCAGCTTCGCAAATGCCTTTCCAGCGAGCCGGAACAGGGCCGAGATTCCGATCGGAGAAACTACGTCGTTCAGGCCAAACTCCGGTATCGACCACTCCGATTATCACATCGGAGCCATAATCGGAATAGGACCATAAACCCTGCTGGTTTCGGAGCCCGAGAAATTGAGGCGACCGTGTGGTATGGAGCTGTCTGCGACGGTCTTCAAATGTCGCGAGGATCGAAGGGTGTTGAAGCACAGAAGCGGCTTGAGATGGAGTCAGAGAAGCAGAGAAGCCATGGAAAACAGTTTCGTATACGTGTAGAATGTTGAGAGGGTCAGTGAACTCAGAGCTGTACCAGTGGTAATGGGTGGGGAAGATGGACGGCTTAGAGTGACTGTCCACTCGGAAAATGTAAGTTTTAACCGTCTGATCAGCTGAAACAAAGAGGGTTTTAACTGGAAACTTGAAGTTGAAGAAGAAGAAGAGACAAAGAAGAAAAGTATGGAGGAGATGCGACGCCATTGGAGGAGGATTTTGAGACTAGACTGATGTTGAGAGTGGAGTACTGGAGTGTGAATGACTGATGAAGACGGAGTTATATAAGAGGGATTATTGTTTTTTCGTTATTATTTTAATTATTCTGATTAATTAGGTAATTAATTAATTTTTCAATTTATGTGTTTAATTATAGATATGATTTTGTCGTTCTAAAGACTTGTTGAATGATGAGTCAGCCCCGTTTTTGCGGGAGGCCATACAAATTCCGAATTTTATCAAAATTTTGTTCTAAAATATTTAAAATAATTAAAATATTTTTATTTTTAAAGAAATTGAAATAAATTAATAATTAAATAAAAATTTTAATTCTTTAAAATAGTTCGATGTATTTTCAAAATATTTCTATTTTTTAGATACTAAAAAAGTGTATTTAGATAAAAGTTTGGTCATTGTTCTAAATCTTTTCATGGACATTACGGCGTGGTTGGATGTGTTTTAGAGGCAGGACGACGTCGTTTATTTCTTCTTATTCACCTACCTGGCCAATTCGCCTCTTTATAGAAGTGGTCAGTGGAAGTCTGGAATGGTGCGAGTTGCTTTAAATGGCTTTTTGAGGAAAAGGTATTGGGGTCCAGAGTTTATGATATGATAACGTGATTACGATATTTAGACGTGCGTGCACATTAACTTACTCGAAATGATGACCGTTGATTACAGGATGTGCTGCATACAACTGTCTAGTAAGACTTTATGTTGTGGACCCAACCATTTGGACTTGGACCCACAGTCGTTTAGATTATGGAGGGCATGCAACATCAGCTATAATGGCATTTGTTTTACTTCTACACCCTTATATTTTTTTAAAAAATATATTATTTAAACTTAATTTAAAGGTGTAACAAATTATAATAAAATTTATTTCATATTAAAACTCATAATTAATTAAATCTCAAATGAAATCCCTAAAACATTAATATTTTCTTTAAGAATTATATGGTGATTCTTTCACCATATAATTAATATTAACAATTCAAGAACAATTAATATCTACAATACATGATATTCTTATCACTTCAAAAAAAAAAAATCATGCATCTAGTCTTATTTTGATCGAAAAATAATTACTTTTATACTTGATATACCAACCATAGTATAATAAATTTATCCCTTAGCACAGCTCGATCAACTAACAATTATTATTACTAATAATAAGAAGCTTGATATATATAAATTCTTTCAGCTATGGTTATTGCATAACTAGAAATGAAACTAAATTAATAATAGTTTTGGAATGCTCGTACGGTTTGATTGCTTAAAAACAAGATTCTTATAACTTAAACATGATGCAAATCTCTACAACACATTAATTTTAAGTCATACCTACCAAAACTTATTAGGTCTTGCATGGAATATGCATGCATGCATGCATGTCATTACTAAGGTTAACCTTAATTAATAGGAAAAAGGAAAGATTAAGGAATTTAATTCTCATCATAATTTTGTATATTTTATTACTGTAATGCAACCAATTAACTCACTTTTGCATTGCATTACCATAACGTTGGGTTATGGAGATGATGAACTAATTAAGTCAAAATACCCATCTCTCTAATACTAATGATGCTTGTGTCGTATTTAATTCTCAATAACGAAATTTATTTACTAATATAAAACCTATCCACAAATATATCTAACAAATCAACTCGATTATAATTCATATGTAATATAACTAAACTTATATCACACAATTTTCAAGTTCAACTGGGAAATCGTGTTAAAAAATTATTAATCATACACTACCATTTCTTATCGTTAAAAAAAAAAAACATTCACATTTTTTCAGAAAAACAAAAAAAAAAAGAAAGAATTAGATTAGATTTAGCATGAAATAATTATTTGAAATAGTATTGTCTCATCTAACCACAACATTACAATTGGAAGGTTTCTATTATCTTATTATTTTATTTTGTTTTATTATTTTAATGATTAATACCTATAAATAATTTAAATTAAAATTTATAGTGATGATTATAAAATAATACAAATAAAAAATTCACGTAACATATACTATTAACATAGTTTTGTATCACACCCGCGAATGTGCCTTATATAATTTAGTGGGCCACTATTCCTCGGATTGGACGGTGTAGATCATTAAGCGTGCATCTGTGTTGTCTCCTGGCAAACATGTGATCATCCTAACTTCTTTTTCAATGGGACCCATTCCACCTGTCCCTCTGACATCCTGCAACCCAGACAGGCTGGAAAAAGTTTGTCTGATAATTGGAAGGCCAACCTTGCTGACTCGTACTGTGACTCGGTCCGAGTAGTCTCACTTTCTAAAATAATTCAACTTGGATAATTTTTTAAATTTATTTAAAAAATTAATTTTGATAAATTCGACTCGATTATCAAATTTAATAATACTGCAAAAAATTCTTACTGTAGTTAAAACATAAGTGAATGATTAATATATTAATTGTAATTAAAGTATGAACAAGTAGTTAAATTATTTATGATAATTAAAAAGTTAAATGTAAATGAAATAATTATTGTGATTAAAATAAGATAAGTCTTTAAATTTAAACAATTTGATATGTTGTTTAATTAATAAGTCATGAATTTAAATAAAACATCTGTTTTATTAATATAAATTATTCTAAAATTTTAATTTATTTACACCAAGCCTCAAAATCTACATGGTGAATCAATATGATTCCTAAGTTTTGCAATCATTTAAATCAAGAACAAAAATATACCATTTGTAAGGCGAAAGTATGACATTATGAATTTAAAGTCAACTTTTGACTCAAAAAAAGGGTCAAAAGCAAATTGTCAAAGTGTTAAAAAAAAAAAAAGAGAGGAAAAATAAAAGAGAATAAGAACAATAAAGCATGTTCAAACTTTGACTAATCAATTGTTGATTGTGCTCTTTAGGAAAAGAGTTTTGTTGTTGGGTGCCTATAAGGCCATAATTTTGGAGAAGCAAAGTAGGGGCGACCATGAGTACTAATGTGAGGGCGTTATTTTGTTGTTTTTATTCGTCTCAATACATTCAGTTTCAGTTGTAGTTATTATCGATTAGTATACACAATACTACATAGGGAAAGGTGAACATTTTGTCCCTCCAACAATATTTGGTTTACATGGACTATTACAATAAGCGAATTTGAACCATGAACACTAGAGGATGATAAAACTTTTACATTCTATTGAAGCCAACTATGCTATTCCCTTGGTGGTACTAGACTAACTATGTTGCTTTGGAGTGTCTTGGACCATTTTTGTATAGTTTTCCGTGTTAGTAATGAATCGTGTCTAAATCCTATTAAATTCAATTTGGTCAACGAATCATTTATAATTGTGTATAACCATCTATATAATAAAGTACAATACAATTCAAATCTCAAAAAATAAATAAAATGTTTTATTTTTCGCAGTTGAGATCTCTTTAAATTTTACTTTAAAATTAATATGTCGGCTAATATTAACACCTTAAATTTAATAAAGAAATAGACCCTTAAGGAGGTGTTTAAGTGGCTTTTTAAAAATATTTTTAGAACTTATAATTTCACATCACCATCACCTCTACCACCTCACCACTACCACTACCACTACCACCATCGTCGCCGTCATCCCACCACCACCACCACTTTTGCCATAACAATCATTGTTGTCACCACTCCACCACTGTCGCTATCCCACCACCACTACCACCATTGCTATCACCCCACCACCTCCACCATCGCCACCCACCATTGATTGAAACCACCGTCGTCCACCGCCACTACCTACCATCATCGTCATCTCATTCTTATACTTATTACCATCGTCAGCACCCATCTGTCATTTCCCACCATTGCCTCCAGTCACTATTACCACCCCTACTACACTAACTATTATCACCCGTCATCACCCACCACTGTTGACATCCATTGTCACTCACCCCCATCACACCCATCACCATCACCACCACTGTCATTCGTTATTACCCATCACACTGCCGTCTATAAGCACTCGTCATCGCCCACCAATACTATTATCACCCACTCACCACTGTCACCATCACCATCACCGTCGCCCACCATCACCCATATCCACTACCATCGCCATCACTCATGGCTACCACTACCATCATCGTTACCCAAAATCAACCACCACCATTATTGTTGTCTCCCACGGCTGCCACTATCACCATAATCATTACCAACCACAACAGGCATCATAGTCTCCCACCACCATCATTGCCGCCCACCACCATTACTACTGATCACTACAATCGGTATTTAAATTTTTTTTCTTTCCTTTATGTTTGTGATTTGATTTTAGGTATAAATATAAATATGTTTATTGTCGATCATTTTTTTTATTACTTTGTGCCTTCAGAAACATGTAATAACTAGTATTCATATTAAGATTCTACTAGAATATCTAATCTTCTATTTTTAGAATATGTATATTCTGTTTTGGTCAATGGTATAATTGTCATATTATAGCCATATTTATAGCTTGTATGCATAACTGTAGCCAGACTTTAGTTTGTAATATTGTATATATTTTACCTACGGGTGAATCAAGAAGATGAAGGAAAACCAATTCTTTCATGGTATCAGAGCCCTAGCAGCCTAGCAAGCTCTTACCCATTTTTTTTCTACAATTTCTTCAGCCATCATAATCAGCCTTTCTCTAAGATTCTTCTCATTATAGCCGACGATGGGAAAGTAGATCCCCACTCTCCCTATTATCTTGGGTCTGGAGATCAACCCGGGAATATGATCACCCACGTGATCCTCTCTAATGACAATTATATTGCATGGGCACGTGCAATTAAGTTGTCTTTGAAAGCTCGCCGAAAGTTTGTGTTTGTTGATGGGACATTCACCAAACCGATGGAGAAGAAGAAACAACTCGATTGGGACACTGTCAATTCTATGCTTGTCTCATGGATCACGCGGACTCTTGATCCAAAATTGGCGACCTCCATTCCTTTTCATGATGAAGCCAAACGACTTTGGGATTATCTT